ATAAGTTAATATAGGCAGTTTGAAATTTTGAAACAATTTCTGCAAGAATTTCTGAGTACCTTTGAATTGTTCAGTTTTGATTTATCTAATCTGACTTATTTGCTGCATTTAACTAATATTATAAAATAGGAACATGCACGTGAGAAAATCATATAGCTTTTTTCAACGATCCTTCTTGTCATACCATATAAATCTATCAATTTTATCCGATCATTTTAGTTTTTTCGCTCCAATTGTTTATTTTTATACTATCCTTTTTATCAGTAATTTTCATGTAAAGTTTGATTGAATTTTTGAAAACAATGGACTAAAGTCCAGTAATTACATTCGACTCGAATAGAAATGCGGCTCTGTACACATCGTCCAAAATGTTCATAAAACGGTATTTCAATCCACATTTTCATCGGTGGTCTCACTAAGACTGACTTTATCAATTGATTTTCACGATTCAGAACGTCAACACTACCGTTAAGGGAGAGAGACTGCTTTCCAGGCGATAAGAATAATTCATTTTCCATTGTGACAGTCTTCTATTTCACAATGCATTGCTTTACCAGAAATGCGAGGACATTTAGAAATTCCTGAGAAACAAATAATTGGCTGATAACCGACATCAAAGAGATATTTAAATTAGTTGTGCTTCTCGAAGGCTCAGAACTTACTTTTCATTCCATTTGCCGAATTCTTTATCAACTATTGAATTTCTGTCAGCCAACTAAATCATCCTACTGTTCATGAAAAGATCCGTTTAGCTTTCATAGATATTGTGTGATGTTGTAATTTGTGGCATTCGATATGGCCATTCAATGTTAATGTCCTCTAATGCTATATCTTCCTTTATAATATCCTTCTTCAATTAATAACACTATTTCAAATGAATTTAAGCGAATTGCACACAATCTTGAATCGATTCCAAACCACTTTGGTGTTCCGGATTATTTCGTGCATTTACCGGTTTTTCTCTTCTATTATTAAAAGAGAAAAACAAAACAAATCTCTTAAATATCTGAGTGCAATAAAACTGCATCGTTTTCATAAATTCGAATCGTTTAAGCGTTGCACACAAAAACATGCATTTGAAAATTTATAGAAATTTCATTGAATTCGACACGTTGGTACAAAACAACAACGCAAATAAGAGAACTGATGATATCATTGGGAGAGAGTGCTTCATTATTGGTCAGTTTCTTTACCTTCCTCCATCCATTCCTCTCAAACCCCGAAGTCCTTGATCACCCATGTCTCCCTGATCTCCCACTGGTCCTTGCTCTCCTGGAAGACCTCTAGGCCCGGGCTCTCCAGCTGGGCCTGGTTCTCCTGGTGGTCCTTCAGCTCCTTCCACTCCTCGTTCCCCTCGTCTTCCTTCCCGTCCATTTCGTCCCGGTGGTCCTGGTGGTCCTTTTATTGTTTGTGATGGTAATGATCCGCATGCCTAAAAATTAGATTTATATGCTTCTGCTACTTCGTAAATCGTCTCAAATAAATTTTTTACTGAGAAACAATATATTGCGGAACCTACTTGAGTTGCGAAAACACAGCTGAGCAATAAAAAGATACCGAAAAGATGCATCAATACTGACAATCTGAAAGTTTTCAAATTTTTTAAATATTCAATTTTCTCAGAAGATAATTTGTCAGTAGAAATGTTATACGGTTGGAACGATCTCTTTATTTCTGTTCCTCAATTCTTTAGGTGATCAATTGATTATAATTCAGAAATTTTAGCCGAAAAATTATAATATCGTCGCATATACGAGAAAAGAATCCAAAATTTAAATTGAAAATCAGTAAAGTTCGAGCCAAAGTTTTTTTGTTTATATTGGAAAATCGAATATTTAATATCTATCTTGTCGGAATTCATGAAACAAACATTTTAAGAACTTTCTGTGAATG